TTCATATACAGATATCTAACTCCGTACAATGCTAATCGGGACTCAAGTTTAAATAGTGCCGAATTATAGTCGGCAACAAATTTGAAGTCCTGCAGCCTTAGGTGCTGCCAATTATATTGAGCCTGTGGGAGAATCACGATTTTTGTGTGACCAAACCTCTCTTTGATTTTTTTCCATATTTCTGATAGCCTTTCAAGTTGTATATATTCGTCTTTCAAATCATCGGAAAGATGATAGCGGATAAAAATCATAGCATTTGCCTCATCTTTCCCGACAACAGAAAAAACAAATGAACTGCTGTTGAAAAATCATGATTTGCGACCATGTGGGTCCCAAGCTGTGCCTGAAGCACATGCTAATCAAAATAGAAATATGGGCCGATTTAGAGGCCGTGGGCGTAGATTCTGGCGTGGTGCACGCAGAGGCGGTGGACGTGGTCCCCCTCAAGATGCCCGAAATAATGACCGAGGTGGATATGAATATCCTCGTCGAAATAATAATACGGTCTGGCAGAGACAACCATTTCAGGCAAAACGCGATAAAGGCAAGATGCCCGCGGAAAGAATTCCAGAAAATATGTGTATTAGATGTGGAATGACTGGACACTGGGCTAAAGTTTGCAAAACCGCTCAAGATCTGGTAAATCTGTACCAGGATTCAAAAAGAGACGAAGAAAAAAATGTCCAGGCACATGTCACTGAGGCATAAATGTCACTTGCTGTTCTTGAAGCCAGCACATCTGGGAGCATGCTTGATCAAGATCCTGCTCAAGATAGAGCCTCTCTTGAGTTATCAGATTTCTTTACAGATCTTGATCCTCTTGTAAATTGCCAAATAAGTATCTCTTTTTGGTTATTTTGTACTCATTATGTATACTTTGTATATATCTCTCTCGGATGATGTAGTACCCGAGATTGAGCTATTTTGTCTTTTGATGTATCCATGTTCATATCTCCCTTGGAAGTTGTGTTCCCAAGGTCGAGCTGATATTTTGATTATGTATAAAAGTATGAGTTTATTATCATATTATTTGTAAACTATACTACGATTCAATATTAATTTTATGTTATTTAATTCAGGCAAACATGGAGAACATCGACAAAAGAGAAATTTGCCTACTCGATAGTGCAACTAGTCACTCGATATTCAATAACAAAATATATTTCTCGAGGGTGACTTTGTGTAAGGCACAAGTTAAAACCATAGCAGGTTCCACGGAAATAATAGATGGCTCCGGGAACGCAACAATTGTGTTGCCTAATGGTACCACTTTGCATATTGAAAATGCATTGATATCCGGGAGATCAAATAAGAATCTACTGAGTTTTAAAGATGTGAGACATAATGGATATCATTTAGAGACACTAGTTGAAAATACCGTGGAGTGTCTATGCATCACATCATATGTTATGGACAAAAGAATTATTCATGAAAAACTCGAAGCCACTATACCATGGAAACTTGTTAATCCCGATATACAGGGGTTATGGCATGATCGACTGAGTCACCCTGGAACGACTATGATGCGTAGGATTGTACAACACACTAAAGGACACCCATTAAAATATACAAAAATCTTGATGTCCAATGAATATTTCTGTGTATCATGTTCACAAGGAAAACTCATTATAAAAACTTCTATTGAAAAGGTCGGTTATGAATCACCATCGTTTTTACAACGTATTCATGGTCATATTTGTGGACCAGTACACCCTGCAAGTGGGCCATTTAGATATTTTATGGTTTTACTAGACGCATCTTGTAGATGGTCCCACGTATGCTTATTATCTACGCGAAATGTTGCATTTGCAAGTTTGCTAGCACAAATGATTAAACTACGAGCACATTTCCCTGATTATCCCATTAAAAACATAAGAATGGATAATGCCGGATAATTTACATCAAAAGGTTTTGATGAGTATTGTGCAGCACTGGGAATAAAAGTCGAGCACCCGGTAGCATACGTTCACACTCAAAATGGACTGGCGGAATCTTTGATTAAACGCGTCCAAATAATTGCTCGTACTTTGCTGATGAGATCGAAACTCACTAGTGCAGCATGGGGCCATGCAGTATTGCATGCATCAGCACTGATTAAATTACGCCCCACTGCTTATCATATGCATTCCCCAATGCAATTGGCCTTAGGCTTTGAGCCCGATATTTCGCACCTACGCACATTTGGTTGCGCTGTGCAAGTGCCAATTCCTCCTCAAAGAAATAAAATGGGTCCCCAACGCCGACTTGGCATATACGTTGGGTTTGATTCACCGTCAATTATTAGGTTCTTAGAGCCAATAACGGGTGATTTATTTATCGCTAGATTTGCGGATTGCCATTTTGATGAGACTACATTTCCACAAATTGGAAAAGATAAAAATATCGCTGATAATGATAAACAAAAACCAATCGAGAATCTCACATGGTGTGAGCAACATTTATCTCATCTAGATCCACGTAACTCTGAATGTGAAAATGAGATCCATAGAATCATTCATTTACAAAATATTGTCAATAGACTTCCCGATGCATTTAGCGATGCCAGTAAAGTCACGAAGTCTTATATTCCAGTCGTGAATGCTCCAGCTAGGATTGATGTTCATGAAGAACATACAAAAACCCTCAAATGAGGCGATTCCTAGTGAGAATGCTCCAGATGAATCTGTTGAGCATGATATCGAAAAAACAATATCAAATTCCGGGAATACCGAGAATCCCATAAGTTATTGCAATGAAATATGGGATAAAAATGAAATAATCATCGATAATATTTTTGCATTCTCGGTTGCAGAAGAAATTATGTACGATGATTATGATAGTGAACCGCGTTCCATACTGGAGTGCCGCCAAAGAAATGATTGGCCTAAGTGGGAGGAAGCAATAAAATCTGAATTGGCTTCCTTAGAAAAACCAAAAGTATTCGGGCAAATCGTTCAAACTCCGGATAATGTGAAGCCCGTTGGGTATAAATGGGTATTTATCCGTAAGAATGAGAATAATGAAATTGTATGATATAAAGCCCGCCTTGTAGCTCAAGGCTTTTCCCAGCAGCCTCGGATTGATTATGATGAGACGTATTCACCAGTGATGGTTACAATCACTTTCCGTTTTCTTATCAATATGGTCGTCCAAGAGGGACTGGACCTACGTCTTATGGACGTTGTAACGGCCTATCTATATGGTTCACTAGATTCTGATATTTATATGAAAATTCTCGATGGATTTAAAATGCCAAACTCTGGCGCTTCTCGTGAGCTGCACTTAATCAAATTACAAAGATCATTATATGGTCTAAAATAATCCGGTCGCATGTGGTATCATAGATTGAGTGAATACCTTATCAGGGAAGGTTATAAAAATGATCCCATTTGCCCATGCGTTTTATTAAAAGATCTAAAACCGGATTTGCTATCATTGCGGTTTATGTAGATGACATGAACCTGATTGGAACTCATGAAGAGTTAGCCAATGCAGCAGGATATTTAAAGAAAGAGTTTGAGGTCAAGGACCTTGGAAAAACCAAACTCTGTGTTGGTATTGAACTTGAGCATAGAAATAACGGCTTACTTATACACCAATCTGCATATACTAAACGACTATTCAAAAGATTTAATATGGAAAATGCTAATCCATTGAACACCCCTATGGTTGTACACAATTTAGATCATGAAAATGATCCGTTCCGACCTAAAGAATTTAATGAAGAGATACTTGGCCCAAAAGTGCCGTATCTAAATGCTATAGGAGCGTTAATGTATCTAGCCCAATGCACTCGACCTGATATCGCGCTTGCGGTAAATGTGCTTGCGCGATACAGTTCTGAACCTACCCGGAGAGACTGGAATGGTGTTAAACATATTTTTTGATATCTCCGTGGTACTGCAGATTTGGGATTATTTTATTCAGAAAATAAAACTAACCAAGGGTTAGTTGGTTATGCCCATACGGGATATAGATCTGATCCCACAAAGCTCGCTCACAAACTGGATATTTGTTTGTTATAATGGTGTAGGTATATCTTGGCGATCTACCAAACAAACATTAGTGGCCACCTCCTCAAATCATTCAGAAATAATTGCACTTTATGAGGTTGGCAGAGAATGTGTTTGGTTAAAATCAGTCATATCACACATACGAAATTCCTGCCAATTGAATCCAGTTATAAATCCGCCTACTATCATTTACGAAGATAATGTTGGTTGCATAGCACATATAAGAAGCGGATATCTAAAGGGTGATAGAACCAAACATATATCACCAAAGTTCTTTTATACACATGAGCTTCAAAAGAATGGAGAGATCGATGTTCAACAAATTCGATCATGCGACAATCTTACTGATTTGTTTACGAAATCTTTGCCGACTTCAACATTTGAGAAATTGGTGTACCATATTGGAATGAGAAGAACCAACATAAAGGAAGATTGACAACCCATTTGCGCAAGATATATTGCTCATTTCAGGGGGAGCAATAGTGCACTGCACTCTTTTTCCCTTACGACTAGTTTTGTCCCATTCGGTTTTCCAGCGAAGTTTTTTAACGAGACAGCTTGTGCACTTTTGTACTACAATACTAAATCCAAGGGAGAGTATTGTAATAGATATCTGATCCTATAAACTTATGGACTAAGTA